TTCGTGGAACTTGGACATGGAGCGGATACCGTGCTCGGATAGGAACTCAGTTTCGTCGAGCATTCGCTCGAGAATCTTGACGAGACGGTCTTTACTAACAAGGGCTAGTAAGAGTCGGTCGTCTTTGCCGCGGCGCTTCATGCTGGCGATGTTGCGCTCGGCTATGTCCGGCTTGTTCTCGATGAACCACTCCACTCGCCGCTTGAACGAGGGGAACTTGTTGATTAGCTCGGGCTCTAGGGTGAGGACCGCATATAGCGGAATTAAACCGACAAGGGACCTAATAGGTAGCTGCTGGGTCCATGGCCCGCCGTAGGAGATGGCATCGTAGTAGAAGCTGTCTTCTTCGTTCCAGAGTGACTGCACAGTGTCATCGCCCGAACGGTAGGTCATTGCATCACTGATGAGCAGGAAGTGCTCGAAGAACTTGGATGCAATGTCTTCGTATATGCGACGGTGCTTGGCCAGCTCCAGGGCTATGTTGAGCATGGTAAGCGAGTAGAAGGCCATCCAACCAGTGCTGTCAGCTTGCTCAAGCACACCGCCAGTGGGCAATGGCTCCGAGCGATTAAACAGACCGATATTATCAAGCCCCAAAAAGCCACCCTCAAACACATTCTTGTCACCAGAGTCTTTACGGTTCACCCACCAGGTGAAGTTCAGCAGCAGCTTTTGGAATACACGTTCCAGGAAGTCCAAATCCTGTCGCCCGTACATCTTACGCTCAATCTTGAACGTGCGGAACACAGCCCATGCGTGCACGGGAGGGTTCACATCGCCGAAGTTCCACTCGTATGCAGGCAGCTGACCGTTCGGGTGCATGTACCACTCACGGGTGAGAAGGTCAAGTTGCTTCTTTGCAAAATCAGGATCCATCATAGCCAGTGGGATACAATGGAATGCAGTGTCCCACGCGGCGAAGAATGGGTACTCCCAAGAGTCCGGCATCGATAAGATGTCGTCGATGTACAGATGACGCCACTGTTCATTGCGAATGCCCTTTCGGCCAGGCGGAGGGGGATTTCAGCCGGGTCACCGTTGCTCCATTGATCCCAGATGAAGTTGTAGTACTGCTTGCACCACATCATCCCGGAGAAGGCTTGACGCTGGATGTTGCGGAGATCGTCACTCATGGGGAGAGGGTTGAGATGGTAGTAGAAATCATCTGCCTCGGCACGGCGCTGTTCAATCACATCGTCCAGGACTTCTTCATCCAGGACCTCTTCCTTCTTGCGGGACACTCTAAAACGGACAACGGCGCATTCGCCAGGAGGGACTCCCTCGCCGTTGTTGAAGGCGTACCATGCAGCGAACTTAGTGCCTTCGTTGTCTGGGTTGATAGCACCCTTCTCCTCTTCAACGATATGGCGGTGGAATGCGTCTTTAACATAGGGTGTAACGTTCTCAGTACCCCATAGGAATTTGTTATTACTCTCGTTCTCGGTGAACATCAGCTGGGGCTGGATATCGTCATCACTAGACCCAACTGGAGGCGATGGTGCAAAGGAGACATATCGCTGGCCGATTTTGCTGTGCTCTGATTTGGCTACCATCGGACCCTCCTTTTTGATAGACGGTCTTTCCTGTTTCTTCTCGTCGCCCCAGGACCATGTGTTTCGGAACCAGACATGAGGGACGATGTGTAGATGAGCAGGCTCTGGGCCACGATTGTAGGCAATTACACGGAAGAGCAACTCTTCCTCATCGTCAGCCTCCTTAGCAGTCTCGATGTAGATATCCCAGTAGCGGTTATCGTCGAAGATACCAGTATCAAGGATCTGGTACTCTTTCTCCAAACGCGAGCGCTTTGCATTCTCATCAACGAGGTCTTGGTATGGGAACTTTCTCTGGGGGTATTTGTAGAGGAATTTCATGTAGGAATGCTATGCTCCGGGGTCAGCATTGTTAGAGATGAACTGGATTGGATTTATAAATGAGTTTACCGTTGGGGTGTTGTCCACATGGAAATGTGCTTCCTTGACACTCTCGCCATGATTACCCTGAGGGTTCGACAAACCGAACAGGCGTTCCTTCAGGAAGTCGCTGTACTCCAGTTAGATTCCATTGCGGGGAATCAGACCCACAGCGTTCAAGCAGAGGCTGGACTTACTCTTCGCCATTCCAGAATGCAAAAGCAATGTTCTGTATACCGTGTGTATCAGACACACCTGCAATTCCATCTTCACCCCAGCGGAAAGTTCTCGATCTTGCATGATCGTGAGTGAAGTAGCTCCAAGCGTCGCCATCTGCACTGTAATCCTCTCTGACTATACCATGACAAATCCGGCATCAGCCTACTGTTTCTCAATTCGGTATGATTTTGCAAGCTCTCACCTGTGGCCCACTGCCTCTCCGCCTATACCAATTCAAAAGCTTTTAGCACTGCTAATATGTATGTTCCCGAGCTATCCAAGGCCTCAACTTACCACATATGGTCCCCAGCGCTGTTTTCAATCAGTTAGCAAGAACTTCTTGGAGCTAGTTCAAAAGTTGGAAAGATCTTACCTTCCAATACTTGATTCTCTCACGGTCTTCCTTTAGGCGCTTCTCTTCCGCTGTGATGACTTCTTTCCCATCGATTAAGACCATACTGACGATTGAGAAGGAACCGGGTCAATGGCTAAAAAAAAAGTAAATGGAGATGGAGAGGAGGGGAAAGAAGTTAAGAGGGGGAATGTCCCTGCAGTCCGTGCCAACCTGGGCCCTGGAGACAAAATGACGTGAATCACCGGTTCCACGGGTCCACAGGCATCGATGCGGGTGGATAATCGGGTCGGATTGGGGGGATGGAGATCTCTGATTGGTTGATATGAGTGTGTTCGGTTCGGGCCTGGAAGGTGCACAGGTCATGGACCTTGATTTGCCCCCGAAATTTATATTATTAGCTATATATACCTAGGTGGGCTACCTACTTTGTAAGTATATTAGGTAGTATATTACTATAAATATGGTCGTAGTTGCAACATATCGAGACTAAGGAAAAGAAAAAGTCCAGCTATCTCAACCCACATAAAGCGGGGAATAAAGAAAAGACTACTCCATATAATTGATCGTCTCATCTTAGCTCGAATCATCATAGAGCTTCTGTTGCATTTCAATGATCCGGAGTGGGCGGTGCCCAAAGATCGGCTTCTGCCCGATTACATATGTATTCTTGGGAGAATTGGTATCGGGAAAGAATATCCTCTTATCGTGTCCACTATTTGCCACATAGTATGTAACGCTAGAAGCTGAGACATTTATGTTGTAGCCAGCTCTATAAGGCAGTCACCAAAACCTAGTATTCCAAGTTTAGAAGGAAAAATTAAAGGAAATCTAGATTTGAAGTAACTAATAGGCCGTATTATGATTGATAAAATTGTTGGATATTTAGATCCACAGGTATCCTCGCTCCACCTTCCATACTTCGACATACCCATATCCAACAACCATACAACCATACATTGTGCAGGAAACTTGTCCAAAGCTCAGTGCAGTCTCTAGTGCGATCAAGAAAAAGAATCAAGAGGCGATGGTGAAGCGGACACAGCAATCTACCTAGATCCTCTGTTCCAAAGACATAGCCTAAATTATAGCATGGAGATATATATACTTATGCTCTCAACATCCTTTGCCTGGAAAGGGCTAATTTTCTACCATTATCAACTGAGAGAATAAGCAAGGAATCATAGGAAAGCCACAAATGTATGCCCCGCAGCTCCCCAGGGGCTGACAGCTCAGTATTTGAAGCCCGTGCCCTCTGGTTTCTGCGCCTAGATCAGGGAAACAGTGACAATGACGGAATCAAGTGGATAATTAGGCGTTCAGTTTTTGATCGTAGGCCTATGATTGGACGCCATAGTAAGCCCATTAGCAACTCGCCTGCTTATCATTCGGCTCGGGCCTGAAGGTGCAGGACACTTTTCGGAACTATATCTTCAGTTACTCTGTATAAGAGGTATGCATTACCCCCATGGTATAAATATGTAGATATCCCGGGTCTGGTAAATCTGATTGAAAGAATCTCAATTTCAGACACGAAGGCAGAAAAAAAAAAAAAGAAAAAAAAAGAACACGGGTGAATCGCAGCGCCGTAGCACTGCAAAATGAGGGACGGCGTTGGGGAATAGAAATTCCACGGCCAGATCCATACAATAGGGGGGTTTCTCAATGGATGCCAGAAAAAAAAAGATAAAACTAAAAAAATCATCCCAATAAAATAACCACGCCGACTGGGACATATTGCGTCTATCAGACGCGGTGCGGGTCCAATGTCACGGATCATTGAGCTCCGCCCTGATGCGCTCGTCCCAGCCTTAATCTAGCTCCGACGTTCCGACTCCAGGATTGGTTGGCCTTTTTTTGGACCTTCCAGATCTTAAAATTTGCAGATGTTCGGAATTCAGTTGTTCCCCCGTTGCTCAGACTGCTCCGGCTGCTGCTCGTTGTAGGATCCTCCCTGGGAAGCTGTTACACAGTCAGATCCCGCTACAGCGCAAACCCGGCCAGCTATATCAATCGGCCCGCAAAAAAGATCAGATTGAGCGCTCACCAGCTGACTGGCCTTGTTCCCGGCTGAGTTGGGACGAGGTGTTGCCACTCCCGGTAGACTGGGACTGGAGGCGTCTCTCGGCCTCGAGGATGCGCCTCTGCAGCTCCTCCAATTCGCGGTTCTGGATCAACATCTGCTGCTTCCTTTGGAGATGAGGTTAGCGCTATGAATACGAGGATCATGATGACCACGAGTCGGTGCGATATCGACCGTTCAAGGAATTATTAAATGTTACTTACTTCTGGTCGATGGTTTGCGAAAGGTTGTCCACGTCAGAGTCTAGCATAAAGGCGCTGTCCAAGGCTGACGAGAAGGCTTGCGCCATGGTCCTGAGATCACGGTTAATGCTACTATTCGAATATTCCACGACAGTATAGGGAAACGAACGACTGAGGCCGGGCCTTCGGCTTCCACTCGCGATCCAGATCAGACATGTTGTGTGGTGATTTGAGCTCTTTGATTTCTGTGATTACGGATCGGGTCCCAATAGTTGAATGGCGACAGGGTGTGCGACCTTGAGATAGGCGGGGCAAGAAGAAGTCGCAAATATTAAGATATTAGGCGGTTTAGGTATTGTCGAGACCAGGACCAGCCAAGAATCAAGTACAGATGAAACTGAATCGAGGATTTTGAGGCTTGAGGCTGTTAGAGAGAGAAAAACAACAGTGTCAGTTCTTTATACTTCTCAACAGATAAGCCACAGTCTGGTGGGGAGGTGAAAGAAATACCGGATATCAATAGTACTAGTCGCGATGAACAGATCGAAGAGTGATAAGCAAAGAACTTTGGAGACCTGCCAGAGGAAGCTAAAGGGGTGGAGGGGGAAAGAAGAAGGGGAAGTGCGAAATTGAGAGATGATCATAGCCCACCGACTATGTTACTAGTCGCGGTAATTGGAGGTCCCATATATCTCCACCAGCAAGGAGAGAGGTAAAGTGTTACAACTGTATTACAGGGGTTCGACGCCATTATGTGTCGCCTTATTAGAATTAGTATGGACTAATCCGTACATATAGGGGGGGTTCTGTTTCAGGGGTTGATTATTTTATACTTCCATTACAGGTATCTTTCTTTTATTTTTATTTTTTCTGTGATTTTTTCTTATTTGTCTTATATTGGAAGAAAAATAGGGGTTGAGGGTGCATACATAATACATATCTATTGTACTTGACTCATCTTATAAGCGGGAAATTAGGAAATTAGGGAATCACTTGGAGAAGGACTCTCTTTTATAAGAAAAAAAGGGCAAAATAGCCCCTGACATGGGGTTCAAGGCAATTAGGGGGGGATTTTCATTCTGAGTACACTACAGTACGGACTACATAGGGTCAATTTTACCGGAAGATATAAGCATATAAGGTTGAAAATGTCTATGCTTTCAGATATTATAGAAGATATTCAATTTTATAGATTTATAGATTTATAGATATAGCCCAATATAGACAAAGTACCATCGTACGTTGCACAACTCGCATTCTGGCAGATTCCTCCCTGGCAACTGGTCACATGACCTATACCATACAGTACGGTAGCATCGTGAACTCTCCTCAATTCCAACCTCCATTTCCATTTCCATCGTCATATCAATTCAACAGGGGCATTTCATCTCTTCGCTTCGTCTAACCCCAAATTCGACGCGTTTTTACCTGACCCGTTGTGGTCGCCGTTCATTTTTTCTTGTCCGCTCAATTTTTCGCGCGGATAGATTGAAGGGCTATGCGTATTGCCTCTCTAATCTGTCGCGTTCACTATCTCTAAATACTAGCCAATCTAGCCGACATAGCCTGCGAAGCCCGCAGTTCAGCGACACCGAACACTGTCCGTGACCACCCTGATCACCGACCGACCACCGTGGCCCCCATCCTCAAAGCCTTTCCCCCAGTGGCCGACCGGACGGGCAATGGGGGATGCCTCCTCTGTCGGCATACACTTCGTTTGAATCCCTCCTGTTTTTTCAGTCTCTAGCGACTTCCGATTCCCGACCAACAAGCTTCGGCTCAATCTCAACCCTTTTGCGCAACAACCAGCTCGTGCGCGAGAATGCCGATTTCGATGCCGATCGCCTGACCCCGGAGGCGCTGGAAGATCTCTATGCGACATTGATGCGCGATGGATTCAGTCGTGATAGTGCGCTCTCGGCCAACGGACGACCCGCAGATACCTCTAGTCCGCCCAATCCAAAGAAACGCAAGATCTCCAGTCCGCGACCAGATGGATTGACCGGCGGATTCACCCATGCCACGCTCGTCCCAGAGCTAGTGACACACCTTTACGCCAAATACAGAGATCTAGTCACTAGGGAAATTAGGGATGATGAGAAAAAGTACACAGAAATTAGGGCTGAGCTGGAACGGCTGCAGCAGGAGGGCGACAAACCAGTCGCTGCCGCAGCTACAGCATTGACACCGGTGAAGCCGGTGCCTATCGAAGGGAAGGATGATGTTATGAAGGAAGAGGTGCCACACCCACATGTACAAGATCAGACAGCTCAACCTGTTCCGACGACCATCCCGCTCGCCCAGGACAAGGCAAAGCCCGAACCACAGCACATCGCGATAAATGTGCCCCCTACGACAAACGAGCCTCCTAAAACACACCCCGTCCCTCCTGTGACCCAACTTCAAGCTCCACTTCCCCAAGTGCAAACCCCGACACCCAAACCGCAAGACATAGCTGGGCATGCACCTCAACCGCAGCCGATCACCACCCATCCCGTACCAAAACCGTCCATCCAACCTACACTTGCTCCATCTACTCAAAAAGCCCCTCCAACCACACCGGCCGGGCCACGAGTAACACCGGCACATCCGTCGCAAATCGCACCTCGTGCCAATCCCGCCCCACCTGCGCCAATTGCTACGGGTAAGGCTGGCCCGTTGGCACCGGCGTCCCAGCGAACCCCCGCTCAGCCGAGCTTCCAGCAGTGGCAGCTGGATCCTTCTCCTCACTCACCATACCCGATCGCCTCCCCAGGTGCTGCTACACCTCAAGCGGCCCAGGGTACTACCAAGCGACCTGTACCACCACTTCCCACCAACCCGCCTTTGGCCGGGTCACAAGCCCAGACTCCTCTCCAACCTCCTGGTCCACAAACACCCAGCGCCGTCCCGTCTGCAGTCCACACACCTGTTCCGATCGGCCGCCCGCGTATTTCTCAAACGCCGAGTGCCACATTCCCTTCATTCTCCGAATCGCGCGCCTCCCATCCACGCCTGTCAATCGACACGCAAGGCTCTTCCACACCGTGGAAGAGAACTCCTCGCCCGAGGGTTTCGCGCTCTCCAAGCTCACCGCCACGGCCACGGCCGGAGGACGTCAGTCCCATCAGTGAACGCGACCAATCACCCGTTGATGCGATGGAGATGTCACCTCCCCCAAAGATCAACCTAGGCCAACGAGCTCCATCTACAGAAGACAGGAAACCACGACGTGGCCAGCCTGACACCAAATCCGCCCCCCGTCATAAAGACCGAGAAATTAGCTTCAATTCGGAGGACGCGTGCCGTAAGTTCGGCTTCTTCCCGGAGTCGCGGGCGATCCATGGCCTCACGCGATGGGTCTGCTGCGCCATCGGAAGACAATCAACGTGAATCACGAGCATCGGGCCGCCGAAAGGGTGCAGCTGCTACCGCCGACGAAGGGACGCCTAAACCGCGGACAAAGCGTAAACGCGGCGCAAGTGAAGCAGTGGAACTGGAACCTCACCCTGCGGATATCCCCAGATTCGACACCACCCAGTATGTCATGGCCACGCGCAACTTCCACCGGACTGCGGCACCGATCATGAACGATGTAGCCACGCACAAGCTCGCCTCCATCTTTGCCAAGCCAATTAGCGAGCGCGACGCCCCCGGCTACCATGATCTCATCTATCGGCCATCTGACCTCAAGTCAATCAAATCGGCCATCCACCAGGGAAGCAAAGCTGTCGCAACCGCAGGAGAATCAGCAAGCACCCCGGCTGGGGATGGAGAGTCTCCTGTTCCTGGTGGCACGCCGTCAAAAAGCGGCGTGCTCATGTTGCAGAAGAATGAGGATTTCATACCACCCAAGGGAGTTGTGAACTCTGCACAACTGGAGAAAGAGTTGATTCGCATGTTCGCCAACGCTATCATGTTCAACCCAATTCCTCAGCGAGGATTCGGACCCGCCTTCCCCATGTCCAGTGACCGTGGTTCGCGCGAGAGTACCCAACTGGGCGATTCCGACGAGGGTGGTATCATCCAGGACTCGTTGGAGATGTTTGAGGATGTTCAGCAGGCCGTTACTCGATGGCGGGCTGCTGAACGCACTGCTGATGAATTGGCTAATAAGAATGTCCTCTCCCTTCGGCGTGGAAGTGCCAGTGATTTCAACACTGATAGTACTGATGATGTGAAGGGGTGATTTATTTCGAACGCCATCTTGTATTATGAAACTTTGTATTTGATTAGGTAGGATCGGTTTATTGGATTTGGAAATGAAATGCCATGATGTCTTCCGTCGGTGCCTTCGATAGCCCGACAGTTATTAATAATACTTTCCCTACTTCAGTCTACTACCTATGTAGGTACTATACATAGTGATAATCTAAACAAAAACATATCAACATGTATATCATTGTCATAAACCTTTTGCAGCCAGAGCCAGTCCTGCTGCCCTGAGTCTAAAATGGGGTATATATATAGTTTTTTCTTCTATTTTTCAACAGCCGACCTCTTTAAGCCTGCTCTGGCCTCGTCCGCCCAAGCCCCTCCTTCGCATAGAAATCCATCGGATACACACCCTTATTCCCCGTATCCCAGTTCTCCCGCACTCCCAGCGCAACAAGCGCCTCATACGGCGTCAACAGCGGCCGCGCAAACGCATATCCCCAATCAATACTCAACCGCGGACAAGCAATCTGCACCCAGCACTCCACATCCGCCATAGACGCCAGTTTACCAGGGAAGATCTCACTGAGCAGCAAGTTGACAATTGGAATGCCGCGCTCGCGCAGGTGTCGCTCGATCATCGCCATAGTGTGCGGGTTACCCTGTCGACCAAGCGAGCCGAGGATAATCCCCCACTTTTTCGCGGTCTTGGCTGTTGCGATCGCGTCCCGGCGGATCGTATGCATCTCCTCGTGCTCGTAGCTCTCGCGTGTCAGCGTTCGCGAGTATGGATCGTACCGGTACGCTGGGATCGAGGGGTTGTGGATCATGGCGGATTCGAGGTGGAAGCGGCCGTCGCCGAGGTAGAGGATTGCATCGATTTCGGTTTCGGAGAGTTGCGGTGATGTACAGCCAAGGATCTCGCCTTTGGAGAGAGGTGTGATTTGGGGGATTATGACGCGGAAGCCGGCGCGCTCAAGCACGGGTTTCAGTCCGTGTAGAGTTGCGTTGAATTGGATTGTGCCGACGGTGGCGATCGATTGGCCGGGCTTGAAGTTGCGCTCTAGTGTTGCGATGAGGTGGCTTGTGTCGATGCTGATGTCCACGAAGATGTATAGCGTCTTGATCTGGGTTACATCGACGGGGATCAAGCAGCTGTGCGCGTAGTGTACTAGCAGATCGCAGCCTAGAGCCCGCGCTGTATAGTCATCGATGCAGCAGGCGCCGTATGTGACGTCGCCCATGATGAGAGTTTCGATTCCAGGGCAGAATTGGGTTAGGATGTCGGAGATGGTTGTTGCGAAGATGAGAAGTCCCTCCGGGAATTGCAGGGCTACTCGCTTGGCTCCTGATGTGCGGACTCGGTGGATTGTCTTCGGAATCTCAAATGAGTAATTCTTGGGGAGAAGCTCCATTGCTTCTTGGATCTCGGGATCGTTCAGAATCTCTGGTGGCACTTGGTTGAGGGTGCGGGGTGTGCGTCTGGGAGCGGCTGGAGGAAGTGGAAATTAGTATGAGTATTGTAGTTGTGCTAGTGGACAATATGTACCTGTTTGCACCGCTGTCGACTCGACATCTTTCTGACTAGTCGTATCCTTCTGGGCTTGGGCATCTGCTGTTCGTCGTCCGACAAATCTCTTCTTTGGCTGTCGCATTTGGCTAGCGGCTTGTGAGCCATCCTCAGTAGAGGGAGTTGGCAGATTTGCCTCCATAATATCCAGTTGTAAAATGAGTCAAAAATAACCAAAATTGGGCTTTTCACTTGATCCTGACAATCTTCAAAGATTGGAATTCAATATCATCCCACTTCTTTTTTCTGCCGACTGACTCAGCAGGAGGTGGGGTGATCAACTAGTCCGGAAGGGGTAAAGCGCTCTCCGCATTCTCGGCCTCCTACTGTTCCCATTCTCAAAGCTCGCCCTCTTACCTGTCATTCTCTTACGACTCTGGTTATTCTGATCATACAAGTTGGCACAGAATTTATCATGATGAAAACTCGCCCCCGATTGAGTTTGTTTTCAGCCCTACGGTCTCCATGTTCTACACGCCGCTTCGCGACCGAGTCGCGGTTAACCTCGGACCATGTCCGCATCGTAGAGGTTGGCGCTCGAGATGGACTGCAAAACGAAAAGAAATCAATTCCAATGCAAACAAAACTTGAGTTGATTGAGCGACTGGCTAAAACGGGTGTTGCCACTATTGAAGCTGGCTCATTCGTGCCCGCAAAATGGGTACCCCAGGTATGACCTTGCTGAGCGTCATCATACAGTGCGGGCGATTCCAGCCACCGAAGACTGACAATTTGACTACATTATGATAGATGGCAAGCACAGCTGAGATTTGCGAGCATATTCTCACAAAACCGCCACAAGCACAATCTACAATTGCCTACAACTATCTTGTCCCCAACATTAAAGGACTGGAGAGTCTGGTCAAGATACTTGATAGCACAGGAGTTCCCGCAGATGCGACTGCAGAGACATCAAAGGCAGCGACCACTACAGAGGTGTCTCTGTTTGCAGCAGCAACAGAAGCTTTCTCAAAAGCGAACACTAACTGCTCCATTGCCGAGTCACTCGAGCGCATCAAGCCGATTATGTCATTAGCAAAGACGAAGAATATCCGGGTACGCGGGTATGTCTCTGTTGCCCTGGGATGCCCCTACGAAGGCCCCGATGTGAATCCCGTCAAGGTGGCTGAGATTACCGCCACACTGCTGGAGTTGGGAGCGGATGAGGTCTCAGTGGCGGACACAACGGGCATGGGCACCGCTCCCCGGACCATGGAGCTTATGCAAGCGCTCAAGGCTGCTGGCATCGCTAATACAGACTTGGCGTTGCACTTCCATGATACCTATGGACAGGCCTTGGTGAACACAATCGTCGGCCTGGAGCATGGTGTCCGTATTTTCGACAGCAGCGTGGGCGGGCTTGGCGGTTGCCCATATTCCAAGGGTGCGACGGGTAATGTGGCGACGGAGGACCTTGTGCATACTATTCATAGCCTCGGGATGCACACCGGGATCAGCCTGGATGAGATGTCGAAGATTGGAGGTTGGATCAGTGGGGAGTTGGGCCGAGCAAATGACAGCCGGGCTGGAAAAGCGACCCTGGCTCGTCTGGCGAGCGAAAAAGCGTCGCTTTGATCAATTCGCGCTATAGCCCGTTCTTGTCATCGTTCACAGTGTCTATTAGTTCCCAAAGGGTTTCACATATTTGCCAAAGACACGTAAATATGCTTTGCATTGTCAGTCTAGGCCGTTTTGTTATGTACACTGTAGATGTGGTCAACCAGAACCAAACACCCACTTCTCCATCTCTGGTTGTGGAGATATTATATCCCTAGGCAAGAAACACCAACGCCAACATGATGCAAATCTCTCTGGTCAAGCCGAGGTCACTCAGAAATCAGTGACACGGCCACCATAGCTCCAATCACCACCTGCACCCCATCGTAGAGGCTCATTCTTTGGTCCACCAACTTCACCAGTCTTCGGGTTCTTCTCGCCCTCGAACTCTGGCTGCAGTCCCTTTGGCGCATCCGGGTGAAGCTCGCTACCTTTGCCGTCCGCCTGAATCTCGGCCTGTGGGGATTGATTGACCTGGGGCGTGCTGAAGGCGCCAGTCGAGCGCTTTTGAAGTTGTTCGAAGATCTCCTGTTCTTCCTTTGGGAGACGCGGGGGAGCCGGGGAGTCTGAGAAGGGCATGGGCTTGTCGTCGCCGCTCTGGCGTAGGAACCGAGTTGTGGAGAGTGGTCGGATTGCGACGCGGGCTGTAGTAGCCGAGAGGATTGAACGGCGAATGACGAGAGAGTACACCATTGTGTATGTGTATGAGGGAATGATATGTCCAATGGGGCAATTTGAAGTTGTACAATGTACGGGGAGATCTCGGGACCTCGCCCGGTTATTGACTCACTCCACCGATGTGACTAAGACGGCCGATCCCGATATCGCCTTTTTTATTTCTCCCGGTAGGTCACTGATCCGGTCGGTCGATTCTCTTACGATCCTCACCTCTCTTTTGCTGCAGATTAGCTTTTTGTTTTCTTCTATTTTTTAAAAATCAAAAGTTTGCCATGTCTGCCCTCCGTTTGGCCGCGCGCCGTCTGCCTCGCGCATCCAAATTCGTCCCTGCTCTCGAGTCACCAGTACAGCGCCGATTCGCGACTACTTCCAATGCCCAGGTCAAGGTATGTGTAAACTGAATCACAAATTGTCCAGGATATCGTTTAAATCTGGAACTAATGATCTCATAGAAGGAGTCAACTCTGCCAAACCCCGACCCTTCGGCGGACTCGGTCACGGCGTCCTTCGTTAATGAGCGGGCTCCTTTCATGGTCCCAACTTACGTTCGCCCGGCTCCGATGATGATGAAGGGACAGGGTTGCTACTTGTGGGATATGGAGAACCGACGTTATTTGGACTTGACTGCGGGAATTGCAGTTAACTCTCTTGGTCACTGTGACCCGGAGATCGCGAAGATTATTGCGGAGCAGGTGCGAAATGCTTTTATGGACTGCATAGTGATCAATCGCTAAAAAAAGGTCCTCAATTATAGGCTGAAACCCTCATCCACGCTTCAAACCTCTACCACAACCCTTGGACCGGTGCTCTGAGTCAATTGTTGATTGAGTTGACTCAGAAGTCCGGTGCTATGCGCGATGCCTCGCAGGTCTTCATCTCCAACTCCGGAACCGAGGCCAACGAGGCCGCCATCAAGTTCGCTCGCAAGACCGGCCGCACTCTCGATCCCTCGGGTGATAAGCACGAGTTCGTGTCCTTCAACAACTCTTTCCACGGCCGCACAATGGGCGCCCTCTCGGCCACCCCGAACCCTAAGTACCAGACTCCATTCTCGCCCATGCTCCCCGGATTCAAGTACGGAGATTACAACCAGATCGACCAGCTCCAGACTCTTATCACGGATAAGACATGCGGTGTCATCGTTGAGCCCATTCAAGGCGAGGGCGGTGTCAACATCGCTACCCCCGAGTTCCTTGCTGCTCTCCGCAAGCGCTGTGACGAGACCGGCGCCGTCTTGATCTTCGATGAGATTCAGTGCGGTTTGTCCCGCACGGGTACCTTCTGGGCCCACGCCCACCCCTCTCTCGCCCCGGCCTCTGGTGAGGCTGCCCACCCCGATATCCTGACTACCGCCAAGGCTCTTGGTAACGGTATTCCTATTGGTGCCACCATTGTTTCTGGCAAGACGGTTGGCCAACACATTAAGACCGGCGACCACGGCACCACCTTCGGCGGCAACCCCTTGGCTTGCCGTGTCGCCCACCACATCGTCGAGCGTCTCGCTGAGCCGGAGCTCCAGGAGTCCGTCCAGGCCAAGTCCGATCTCTTTGTTTCGGGCTTCCAGGCCTTGCAGCAGAAGTTCCCAGGTGTGATCTCCGAGATCCGCGGGCGCGGCCTGATCCTGGGTCTTCAGCTCGCCCCGGAGTACACCGCTAAGGCTGGTGACATTATCACTGCTGCCCGTGAGCGTGGTATGTTGATCATCACTGCTGGTGAGGGTTGCATCCGATTCGTCCCTGCCCTGACGATCACCGAAGACCAGATTCAGACTGGTCTGCGGATTTTGGAGCAGGCTGTGGATTCGGTTGTGGCCAAGTCATGAATGTCTTGTCCTGAATGCCGGTTATGATTTTGTTTTCCTTTTATACCATCTTGTATTGCGTTGGATATGACAAGACATATTTTCATAGAAACTAGAGCAATAAAGGAAAAGTGTCGTGTGTCCCCTTGTTTTTATGTGGAGAAGGTCACTCTCAGCCACGTGTAGGGCGGAAGGCGGTGGATCGTGTGGAGATAAGGAGTCGTCACTCTTCGCGCTTGATTCGATATGCCCCCGTATTCTGTCTTCTGTTTCTCCTGAATATTCAAATTAGAATAAATTATGGACTGAATATCTTTTGTCACTTCGCCGTAGCTTCTTATCAAACCCCCCAACGCAACAACCGAATGCCTCTCCCAGCGTCCGATGAGGATGCCGCACCGCTTTCCTCCCAAGAGCAACCTTCTCCCATTTGGAAACGTATCGGTGCCCGTCTTAGTGGTGCCTTTAGCGGCGCAGACCCTCGAGTCTGTGTCGCTTTCTGGCTCTTTGGTACGCATCTTCAACCAGCCCACCTGGGCAGCTAGCTAACACCCATGCCCGGCAGGCCTTATCAACAATGTCCTATATGTGATCATCCTCTCGGCAGCCGTAGATCTAGTCGGACCCGATGTGCCTAAAGGCGTTGTTCTTCTCGCAGACGTGATCCCATCATTTGCAACCAAACTCGTCGCCCCGTACTTCATCCACCTGGTCCCATATTGGATGCGTATTCTCATCTTCGCCTTCTTGTCAACCGTGGGAATGCTGGTCGTCGCTATGAGCCCAGGTTATACCGATGGAGGAACGATATCGTCTAAGATCGCGGGAATCATCCTGGCTAGCCTTTCTTGCGGTGCTGGGGAGCTGAGCTTTGTGGGTCTCACGCACTTCTATGGCCCATTCAGTCTGGCTGCGTGGGGGAGTGGTACTGGCGCCGCTGGGCTGATTGGGGCTGGTGCTTATGCCCTCGCAACTTCGGCGCTGGGATTCTCCGTTCATGTCACGTTGTTGGTGTCGGCCTGCTTACCGGCTATTATGGTTCTGAGCTTCTTTGTCGTGCTACCCAGGTCCCCCTTGAGAACTGCCGACCCCGGCGCTGATAGATACCGTGTGGTTGAGGGCGGGGAACAGGTGGAAGAAGATGAACTGGATGACGGTGTTGGTGGAGAAGACGAGGGGCTCTTGGGGGCGTCGCATAATTCCCCCGCCCACAAGTCTATCCATGTCGACCAAGGTGGTTCCTGGCAGGACCAGACTCGCCTGAATCTACATCGAATCAAGGGACTCTTTATTCCTTTGTAAGTATCCGAGTCTTTCGGTTCTCCCAAATCCAGGCTGACAGATATCTAGCATGGTCCCGATGCTATTGGTCTACATCGCCGAGTACGTTATTAACCAAGGTGTGGCTCCAACTCTGCTTTTCCCACTGCGTGAATCGCCCTTCGAGCATTTCCGTTCGTTCTATCCCACCTACAATGCCATCTACCAGATTGGCGTTTTCATCTCACGGTCCTCGACCCCATTCTACCGCATCCACAACCTATACCTGCCGTCTCTCCTGCAGGTGGTCAATCTTGCGTTGCTGACCCTTCATGCTATGTTCAATTTTATTCCCAGCGTATGGCTTGTGTTCATCATTGTTTTCTGGGAGGGCCTCCTCGGTGGAGTGGTATACGTCAATACCTTTGCTGAGATTGCCGATCGTGTTCCTAAGGAGGACCGTGAATTCTCACTGGGGGCTACCACTGTCAGTGACTCGGGGGGTATTTGTATTGCAGGCTTCCTCAGTATGGGGTGGGAGGTCTGGTTGTGCAGTTGGCAGGTTGGACATGGACGTGATTATTGCCGACAAAAGACATAGAATATAGTTGGAGAGGTCTGTGACGGAAATAGATCTACAGTTACCTCGTCATGCAAACATAAAGATATAAATACACAAAACACAAAACACAACACACAAAACATAAAACATAAAACATAAAAATGAGAGTCATCTACCCCGGCCGGGGAGAGTCAGCTGGTGTCGTCACTGGCATGTGAATGTGGGACTTCGTTGACATGTGATTCACCTTCCCCCAGGGGTTGTTCTCCAATAACAAGGTTGCATTACTTGGACTACGATGCTGATTGATGGCATTAATTTTTGTGTGGTGGCTTGTCTCAAAATGTCTCTTTGTCTCTCTTTAGTTCTTTTTGGACTATTCTTTAGACTCGACCTTCATGCATTCTTATCTGGGTTTCACATAGAACTACACACTGCAGGCTGAACTAGTTAGACTGACTAGTCTCAGCCTTAACTTTAAGAAATGATAGGTATGCAAAGGATATGCAAAGAGTCTTCAACTTACAATCCACCAGACTAATCAATGTTCAGACCACGTCTTAGGGAGACCTTCAACCCGCTTCCGCAAGATCCAAGTATTTGCAGTAGTTTCTTTCTGGTCCGTCTACTTATTAAGGTACAGCATATCCAGTCCACATCAGTCGAAGAAATCCCAACCCGCTGAACATCCACTAGAGCAGATAAACATGGCCCGCCATTTATTCGAGCACTCTCATCTCGCTTCTCGGGGAAGTTGACAACATGGCAGACAACTGTCATCATATTCCTCTGGCTCTACCTCAGTCGGAACTTCGCCAAGATAGTTGGGCTCGAATGCCCTGAACCATTGGCAAACATGTACTCGCGGTCCTTCTTCCGAGCAACGTGGATCACCACTGGCCTGGATGCTGGATTCTGGACCGCGATGAACATAAAGCCAAAATGGCTACGAGATATAGCCTCGCTAGTCTTCACGGTTTACTACCTGATCGCTGCTGAACAGGCCGATGAGAAAGTTCGCCGGGTCCGTGCTACACTGACACTGGAGCATCTGCGTGTATCCTGGAACAAAGCCACCAGTCCCTACCTGTGGTCAATGGCGAAACTGCTACGGCCACGAATGACTCAGTTCCCGGCCCGAGCGATTCGTATTCCTCGCCCAGCGCAGTCTGTTTACACCGATCCAGTGAATGCGTGGTTGTATTTTGATGGCCCGTTAAGTGCGCTCCGAGATCAGAATCTCGTCGTGCTGGATGTGCCCGGTGGTGGGTTTGTGGCTATGAGTCCTAGAAATTCAGAGGACAAGTTATTGGCCTGGGCAGGGCGACTCAAGGTTCCCATTCTCAGCATTGATTACAAGAAGGCACCGGAATTCGCATACCCCTATGCGTTGCATGAATGCTACGATGTATATCATAGCATCGTTGCTACGAATGGTCGTTGCATGGGTCTGAGTGGTAAGACCCGTCCTCGGATACTTGTCACTGGCGAGAGTGCCGGTGGCAATCTAGCAGTAGGCATGACCTTGATGGTGTTGCAGTCTGCGATGGCTCAGGGTTGGCGTGGAGAGGATGTGCTCCCGGCCCCGGACGGTGTGGTTTTGGGATACCCTGCATTGAATATGCGAGTAGAGAGCTGGATGAGCGATGAGCAGATGTCATTGATTCAGGAGAAGAGCACCCGTCAGACAAACCGCGGTGTTCTGCAACGGAAACAGGATCAATATCGTAAACTAACGCCATTCACATCGCCAGGTGGCTCCGTCGACGATTTAACTGCTATCTCGCCACCCGAGAAGGCAAATGATACCAAGGAAGCCAATGTGGCCACCCAGGCTGCTGAATCACTGGAGAAGAAACTCCAAAAGAACGAGCAGATCGCCCCAAAGCCTGCTGCTAAAGCAGAAGACGAAGTCAAGCCAATCAAGACCAGACTAGCTGTCTCATCCATGATCACCTATGTCCACGACCGCATCCTCACGCCTGAAATGACACGTGCGATGATCATCCTATACATCGGACCCCACCATCGCCCAGACTTCAACACCGATTTCCTCCTGTCTCCCGTCCTGGCCCCAGATGCATTACTTGCCCGCTTTCCGAAAACATATATCATGACCGGAGAGCGAGATCCTCTGGTTGATGACACGGTTATATTTGCAGGCAGACTGCGGCAAGCAAAGCTACATCATTTCCGCGAGCGCCAAGATCTGGGGTTGGAGAGGGCGAACCGTTCCTTCAACGAGAGAAACCACGTCGAGATCTCCCTGATCCCTGGTATTTCACACGGATTCATGCAGATGGCTGGCTTCTTCCCTGACGCGTGGAAGTATATCCATCGCAGCGCGGACTGGCTGGAGAGTCTGTCGCTGAGGATTAAGACCAACAACATTGAGGAGGATTTACTTTACCCTGATCACGATGTGAATGCTTTGAAAGCTAATACGTCCCTCAAATGGTCTGGCTCATCAAAAGTCGAAGCAAACCCTTCTAATAAGGCGCGTAACCACCATCGCAAGTTCACTGGCGAGTCCTCCGGTGACGACGACAGACCATTGGAAATGAGCATGAGCAAGATCACATCCGCTGCTGGTAGCGAGGATGCACTTGCGTCAAAGTCTGAACATCGCACGCGGAGGAGGAGATCACGATCCTCTTTTGCTTCCTCGCGGGTTACCGGGTTTACCTCGTTGGGGGATGACCGCAATGCCAAGGAGGATTTCCTCGCTAAGCTCCGATGTTTGGAAAGAGCAGGTCGATCTGATCCTTTCGATCCCGATGAGACAAATAGTGCTCCTGAAAGTCCGGGTGCAGTTCGTCCGAGAGGACGGAGTATCGCTTCACTTGACAGTGAAGAGGATTTGCTGGATCGTCGGATGAACGGACTTGCTGGTGGGTTGATGGGGATCGGGGAAGGGGCACAAACTCCCGGGTTGTGAGAGGACATTGTTACGATTTACGATTGACGTTTGGGAAATATCTCGGGTTAGAGTGAGATCAAGCATTTGTGTTCTAGAAATATATGCCCTTTTACCTGAACCGAACCGGAAGATATATCCCAAGCTATCAACGAGGATTTATGATCTTAGCCATTGTATTACCTTCGTGGTAGTATTTATACGACCCTTATTAGTCTTGCTGAGTTATTATCAAGTAGATCCTGATTAAGGCTTTGATGCCTTTCTTGGATGGTGTATTGATGTGGTTGGTGCAAAAGAATAGAGTACGAGAGGCCATTTTCGGCACGCAGGCTTGGAAATCGAAGATGTCTTAGAAAAATCGTAGGTATGTATAATTGATTGAGGACATCTGCCGCACGCGGCTTCACCACGTAATGACGCGTAATGACTATTTTTCGTGGGACTTGTTTCTATCTTTCGCAACTGAGCTTTGAAGATTCAACACATGTAGAGCTCGGCGGTATAGAGCATTCACATTCGGCCTTTTCATACCATTCAGGCGGGTAATCTGGCATAGGATGAGCCGGTATGGGGAGAAAATCTATCGAATGTTTTGATAATCTTTGGGATGTTGACGTTTTGTTTCGGCTGAAAGCAGGTAAGCATTAACCGAGGAATACCTGGAGCTCCCTGAGACTTACAATGGATACTTTTGGGTGTTTCCCCACGCACATAGAATAGCCTCTTTCTGCGCCACTTCATGGTCTAATAAAGGATCCATGGACTCCAAGAGAAGGGAATTGAAGCTTCCATCTTTTCCATCAAATATCCACTGTATGCAGAACTCAAACAATCTTGGATAGAAGCCCGCAGATGCCCAATCAATAAGGCATAGGGAGCCATCTTCCTGCCATATGATATTTCGAGGTGCAAGGTCTAGATGACAGAGCACGAGATCACAGCCCTGTAAAACTAAATTCGGGTTATGCGCGAAAAGCCGGCTATTGAACCACTCCTCCATCCGGCCAAGACTGTCGAAAACAAGGTCTTCTATTTCAGGGAATAGAAGGCCACGACAAGCGCCTCCATAAAGTGATCCAGGGATGTTATATCGCAAAGTTGCGAAATAGTCAAGCACGCTGGCAACCCTCTGTATAGCGCTAACGTCGTCTAAAGGATCGATGACCTTTCCTTCTATAAATTCCATCACAATATAACCACAGCCTTGCTCATCAGTAAAGAAATCATAGACGCGTGGGATACGAGCTATGCGGCTGTCCACAAGTTCATACGCTATTTTTTGATTTTCAAATTCCTCTCTTGTCACATCTGGGCCGCATTTAACGACTTGATGATCAGAGATTCTGATAATTCGTTTGCCATATTGGCTAACAACATTGCCAGGCAACGGGTTTGCGCAAGAAGCGATCACTGAGGCTCGTTCGGAAAGCGACATTCTTTTAGAATAAAAGACTGATTGGGAGGATAAATTGATTGGGGAGTAAGAGATTATAGAGCAACGCAGGTCTGGAACCTCAAACCAGTTATAAAGATGACAAGATAATGCCTTGTCTTGTTGAAAATAATAAATATAACTTGGCGCGGAGCGGTGTAGAAAGACGAGTGCAGCTCCAATCTACATTATTCGAATAGGTACAACTTCATGTCCGACAGGGCTCAGAAGAACTATATATATCAGAATGCCCCCCCCTGAGATTTGGCTCAACTTATTATATCTATACCACACTACAAAAGAGCGGACTGCATTACATATGGTTCAAGGGGAGGGTTCAGGGGGAGTTTAGCACATTCCCGGCCCGCGCACAGTACCAAAATGGCAAAACAGAGCACCAGAAGTGTTAGCCCTAGGATAGATGCCAGATACGATGGAACGGAGAGGAGATTCTATTCAATTTGACTGCTTGTTAATAGTAGATATTGTTAATTTCCAGTTTATGGCATTGCATCCTTCTTTCAATCTTTGCGTGACAAGAAGATTTACATTAACCACTTCATTCTGCGCCCCACTGCAGCATCAAGAGTAAGTGTAGCCTCAAGTCGCGCCCAAACCACAGCCAACGTTGCCACAACTAGCAATGCACCGACCATAATGCTGGTGTTCTCATAGCTTCGTGGACCGACGCTCTTCTCGTGGTTTCCGCGGATCAGCGCACCGGCAACTGGGGTTCCAACTAATGTCGCAAAGCCTCGCACCATATACAGCAAGCCATTAACACTGACAAAGTTTTGCACGCCGAACAATTCGACCAGGCTCGTCGGGAAGAGAGCGACGTATGCCGATGCAAAGATGCCATACAAGATTGTGAAGGCGATGAACAGCGTGCTCCCGGTAGATTGTGTGGAGGATAGACACGAAGGAAGCCACAACGCAAGGACCGAGACAGCTGAAATAAGAGTCGTTAACACTAGTGTGTTGAGTCTGCCCATACGGTCAGCTGCATGACCAATTACGATCTTGCCTAACGCATTTGCAGCGTTCGAGATGGCAATGAAGTTTGCCGATGTTGCCTGTGAATAACCTAGTGTGCGCGCAAAAGACGCGAAGAAAAACACCGGCGTATAGTACGCAGCAGACTGCAGTGCTGCACCCAGAGCATGCGCAACGAATTTGCGGCTTCGGACAACGCGCCAGTCAACTAATGGAAGGCGGAAGAAGGTCGAAGAACGGGAAGAAGCGGCGTTTTCGGCTTGAATACGAGTGATTTGGCTAGCTGGCCAGCGGATAAATGTCCCCGAGCCGCAAATGAGTACGAAAGAGATTCCAGCTGTGACGCGGAGTGTGTTTCGGAATCCGACGGACTCAATGAGGTACCTAAACGCCAGCGGCCATGCAACACCGCCGAGTCCGGTGCCTGCGAGAATTATGCCCATTGCAAGTCCGCGGTGCAGTGTGAACCAGGTGGGTGCCACGGTTACGGATGGCATGTAAGTTAGACATGTGGCCATGCCGAGAAGAATACCTTGGGTAAGGATGAATTGCCACAAGTGTTCACTGAAGCTTGCAAAAAGCAGAGCGCTTGAGTGGATTATTCCGCTAGCCCAGATGACATATCGAGGAGGATATTGCTTTGTCCATGCTGTTGCGAATGGAGCGCCGATTGTCATTAGTGCGATTGAGAGAGTACCGATCAGGTCAATTTGGGCGGGTGTTGCACCGGTGAATGGCGTGTTTGGCTCCTTTGACATGGAATCGTACAGTTCTTGGAAGACACCGAATGCGAAGTTTATTCCACATCCTGTAAAGACGAGGGTCGTCGAGGCGATGATGATGATGGCTGATTGTCTGTAACTGCGTTAGTTTAGCTCTTATGCTAGTGGTTACGGTACATACAGACGAGCTCTTGAGGTTACTAGGTTGCCTCCATCAACCTGCATGGGTGTTAAAGAAGGTTCCATCTTTGATAGCAGTCTAGCCCGCAGTTTCGATGGTTGGGGTGGATGTGTGATGTTGAAATTGTAAGCATAAAGAGGTACGCGAAGGCTGATGCGTGAGTATGAGGTGTGAACGAGGCAAAAAAAAAGAATATATTCATGTCCTTGAAAACAAAGTTGGTTACCCTTGGCGGTTAAGCTTATATTAACCGTAAACCCGGTTTAACCCTAACCTTCTGAGTCATCGCGGGGTATACCCGAAGAGCTAGCCTGGATGACCAATGCATTCGTATTCAACCATGTAGAGATGAGCAGCGCTACTGCTGCCATGAAGGAATCTATATACATCTATATAACTTCATTATCACAAAAAAATGAAAGTTTCAGAAGTAAATATATATATAGATCTAGGGGCCCACGGCGGGTCCACGGCCCCGGGGGTCTGATAACTAACTGCCTATGTAAGCAAGTAATGCAAGGGCTCCAGGGCTACCTGACTCATCGAATCTAAATTTGGCTTGGGTTGCTATTTAGATGGAGTTTTCATATAATGTGAACTAAAAGATTATTTCATCTCGTTTGTTATCTTGCTATCAATAAGAAGTGATCGGTGTTTTATCTTTCTGTTCAAACGAAGACAAGATTTGCCCTTCCAGCACTAATGGACAGCTTGTAATATAGTTTCATTAGCACTTCGTCGACATCGACAATAGGTAGTATTTAATAATCGAAGGTATATGCTCACGAGCCTATTAAAAAAATAATTTGCGGAAAACTGAACTGACTGCAAGTTCTACAGTAGACAAGCAATTAGTTACCAACACCAACCCCTAGTAAAATTGAACTTATTAACATCAGCCATACTCCGGAAGATAGAAAAAGAAGGAAGATGTACACTTTTTGGACCTGTTCGTTTGCCTGCTCTAAATCGGGAAAACTCTCACGCCTTACTTCCGTTTTCTCACCTTCCCAGACAATCGTACCATTTCGACCCCAGATATATCGCACCGGTGGATCCCCCAGGGACAACAGAGAACGGTTTACCAATGCTTCTTGAACTGACCGGGAACTATCGGTCTTCTCCATCCCCACTTGGAAGTATGGTGTCTCAGTTGACCTGGCGGGACAGACGGCCCCCCCGCTTGGAACATTGCAAGAGCTGCATTTTTGGTACTATCTATGGCTGCGAGATATTAGTAACCAGGCCTAGATCATGTTACTGATTTCCAGGAAATCGAGAAAAAAAATCGAGACACCTCGCCAAGAAGTCTCCGGGCTTACCCGCACACTTCCTTGGGTGGAGCACCGATGGAAGTGACGGAAAGGGATTCGAATCCTGCGAATTGTGTATTACTGATCTCGTGGCTATTTGCTGGTGTGTAGAGCAGATATTTAAGGAAAGAACGATACTATCTTCTGGGGACACCTCATTACTCGATTCACGTGGCAAGCACTTGGAAAACGATTAGAATATAGTTATAACAGCGGCTATAACAGCGCCATGTTATACCAGCGGATGACCGTGAATATCGGGCATCGTAGCAATTGTATCCCCACACGCGAGGTCGGTGGTGCCATATAGAAGAGCAGAATCCCCGCGCGGAGAGGCCATTCGTTCGCACCTCGTTGAGGTTATTTCCGACAGCAAACTCTAGATCGAACGTATGATGTGGAGGAGACCCACCTGTGGCATTCCACCGCCGAGTCATCACCGAGGCTTATGCTAGAGTCGTCATGAGGCTCTAAGTATTGTTGATAATGAGTATGAGATTTGGTGAAAAAACTAGGGTTAGAATCAAAAAATTGATGAGTCTGATATTTTTTTTCAGAATGGTAAATTTCGAGACATGTTTGGCTTGTCTCCTTCAGATAGAACGATATACAAAAAAGTAGGGTGCTACATGAAATTTGGATCTATCGTTTGCTGGTTTTCAATGGATCCATTGCAATTTCAGAAAATAACGTACGATATTTCGCTAGCATCTATATATTAATAGCAGGTTGGATCTAGACTCCCGAATGCGCGGCTATCCCCACAAGATGGATCCCGATCATTTCAAACAATCAGTGAAAAAGCAGGGGAAAAATACCAGTAACGTGTTCATTATGTCATTGACCCAGGTACTCTGTACCCTTGATTTCACTTAATCTCTTCTGTCAACTTTGGAAGTGCCTGGAAGTGCGGCAAAGCGTTATTTGGGCTCCACCTGGCTCTGTATAGATGAACTTGGCCCCCACTGGTGGCTTTGCGAGTTTATATGGATCGGCTGTTATTTTATTTTACTTGAATTTTAATTGGGCGAAAAATCTGCGCACTAATGTACCTAAGGTTGTGCATTGTACATCGGGGAGTTACCTAGGTAAGCTGGGTGCAGTTACACATCCGTGCCTCGATCCCATGAACTTTTTAAGTTTTTTGTATCGTCTTAACCATGTCACCTCTAGAATGTCACCTGTCTAGAATATTCTTCAAGTCTAATATTATTCTACAACTTCAGGGCACTTGACAGAGCTTCCTTGATGTCGGGATATCTCGCGTTGGGACTCGGGAGACCTGGGCCCCGCAATCAACCGTGGAACCACTTCCCCTGACAGCTGTCAAACTAACCCGATATGGATAATTTAATATTGAAAATATTTAAAATATTGAAATATTCAAATAGTAAATACCATGTAGGTACATATATATGTAGTTATATATCCCCAATATCCAAAGAAAAGCATTCTGCAATCCTGGAGGCTCACAGTCCACACATGGTTCATGTGCTTTGTTCGGTGCCATGGAAGCCACTGGGGATTTTGGGCCTGTGCCTCCAGGCATTGACCTTGCCATGAACCAGCAATCCCAGATGCTGGGTGCAGTCATTACCCTCATGATTATTGGAACCCTAGCGGTTATTCTGCGTGTATATACACGTGCAAAGACATCTCAGACAAGTTTCGGTCTGGATGACTTTTTGATCTTGGCTGCTTTGGTGAGTGCACATATACAGTTATATAATATGGTAAATTATCTCTTTGGTCTGGTGGCTTACCTATCTTCTAGTGGTTTGCCTATGGCACTGGTATATGCGTGATCATCAGTAAGTAAACCCAAGTATAGTCCCAACATCTCAACGCTTCTTGACTGACTTTTGCCCTGTAAAAGGTATCAAGTACAAAAATGGATGGCACCAACAGGCTCTGACCGATTCCGAATTCGTCTCTCTTTGGAAGCTCCTTTTCGCACATGTTTTCCTTTACTCAACAACAGTCACTTTCACTAAATGCTCAATCGTTGTGTTCTATCGTCGCATCTTTAACCTGCGCTGGTTATTATATTTCGCCATAGCCATCATCCTTGGCTACTTCGTCGCTGTTATTGTCACCATTGCTGCAGCATGTCGCCCAACTTCATATTTCTGGGAGCAATACACGGATCCCACAGCTGAAGGGACATGTATAGACGTCCCTCAATTTTTCTTTGTCAATGGCATTGCTGCTGTCATCATTGATGTCATGATTCTGTGTGTCCCAGCTCCGGTCATTTGGAAATTGCAAATGCCCAAATCTCAGCGCGTTGCAGTTACTAGTATCTTGCTGCTCGGTGGTTTGTAAGTCGATCTTTCATCTATGGATAGAATCCTAGGGATTTCAAAACCCATGCTGATCAAAATTACTACAGTGTCTGTATCGCCGGTGTCGTTCGCGTTGTTTTCTTATATAAACATACACATTCCAATGATCCATCATGGACAATTGCCCCCGTGTTCATGTGGTCTTGCGTTGAGCCTTTCATCGGAATTGTATGCGCCTGTTTACCAACTTTTTCACCTTTGTTCCGTCGCTGGTGGGCTATTTTGGGGGGAAGAAGGATTCCAAGAAACAGGAGGACTATTATGGTGGGGGTTCTCAGACCCGTCGTTCAAGACAGCAAAGGTCGGAAGATGAAGAAGATGGCCCTCACGGTGATGAGGTTCAATTAACTAGCTTCCCTGGTTGGCCATTGAACTTCTTACGTGGGAAGGTTGGTAGAGATGATGCGAGATTGTCTAGCTCGAAAATTCAGGTTAAAGAGGAGATTACAATCTCGTTTTCTGTGGGCTAAGCGACTTGAGGCTTTTGTGAAAGCTACAAAATTTCGGGTCAAATTTCAATCAAGTTTAATTGTTACAGTATTTCCACAAATTAAAATTACATATGGAGATTACACAATTGATACTATGGTAAAGGATTGACATAGACTGACGACGCAGCATAAGCCGGCTATTCCCGGAACATACGTATGTTCGTCGCCCACAAAAATGAATCAAGAAACCCCTTCGGAAAGAAAGTATGAGAAATCTACAACTTGAATACCCAGCGCGAGTGAAATGTCCGTCGAGCCTTGTCCTCATCACGAAAAAGAGGTAGCCCTCTTTTAGGAAATCGTCATGTTTCGCATGCCCAACATCAACTCAAGTTCCTCTCTGTTCAGTGTAGGCGGAGTGGGATATCGAAGATCCTGAACTCCCGCGAGGTACTCCACGAGCCTGGTATATTATTAGTATGCATGTCAGGCTTGGAAACACATAGCACATCGCTTACCTGTTGTGAAACAGGGTTGGAAAGTAACATTTAAACTCTCCTTCTCCGGTCTCTTCCAGGTGCAGCCAGCCTTTGGTGAGGCATGACAGCATAGCTTCACTGTGTGGGTTGAACAACAAGCCTTCGCCAAGGGTTTGCTGATAGGCTTGCTGAGCCTGGCGAAGAACTTCAAACTCCCGTTCAGGAGGGAAGAAGGTGATGGGTGAAAGCGGAAGACCCGCGAAATCTAAGATCACCGCGATACTTCCTTCCAGGAGGCCACGAACTTCAAAGAATCGAGTAATTTCGCGGTCATCGTGGTTTATTTCATCGAGTTCGTCATCCTTGAAAAAGCCTTCATACCACTGGGCAAAGTTTAGTACAACAGAAGATACTAGCAACTAGCAATGCTTGCAGATCACATACCATGTCGCAGAGAATCATGAATGCATCCACCAATTTAGGCTGGCCTGCAGTTAAGCCATTGATGATATCTTTCAAAATATCGTCGATTTCGTAATCGGCACCTCGAGCCTGGAGATGCATTTCCATGTGGAGATCGAACTCTTCTCGGGTGTAGAAAACTGAAATATCCTCGTCGAACTTCTCTTTCAATAAGAGGCGTTGACGCTTGTTGAATACCAGCAAGTCACTCCCCATGTTATGTGGCATAACACCCCTATCAGGAGTACCGAATGCACTGAACATACAGAAACTAGAACCTGGTACGTTCGAGAGGCAATCTTGGTTCGCCGAACTCAGCATTAACCATAACTCGGAGTTGTTGTAGGTCGTGTGTGCATCGTCGATGAGAAACACAAAGTTGTCGCGCAGAAGGCAGCGGGCAAATGTCGGAAAACCTTGCATGTGACAGGCTTCGACCAGATAATCCAACGCGGAGGGGCCACCCTCTAAACTAAGGGGGAAGCTTTTGATGTAGATCGACTTGACTCCCTGTCCACGGAGGTAGGTATGAAGAGATCGAGCGAGAAAGGTTTTCCCTGATGCGGGGATCCCACGAGCAAGGACCACTCTTTGTTCATGGATGCGACTGGCAAGCTTTCTCACGGTTTTGTGTCGTGGTATGAACACACTAGGATCACTTGAATGTACTAAAGAATAGTTAGAATCAAACCAATAGAGAGAAAAGATCACTTACCCCCAATTCTAAAATGATTTCTGATTGGATGTCCGCACTCCAGACAAGAGGTTGACGAAGATTCGGCCACATTGGGCTGTCCTTGACCACGGCAAGGGCAGCAGTAAGAGCCGTTACCGCTCCAGTAACAAGCTCCAGCTGTCATTTTGTGTGCCAAGAATTAGCCAAATAAAGTGGATATGGAGCGTGAAAAAAAAGAGCAATGTATGCGTTTCGCAGGCTCATCCAAGTCCTGTGTAGGTGGAGTGGTAATTAGGGAGAAGTAACGAGACAGTGGAGGGAAGAGAAAGAAGTTTAACAGAGAGAATGTCAAGGAGAAGAGCTGAAATGTAGGAAGAGAAAAAAGTAAACAAAGTCAGGTATGATGCGGCAATGGAAGGCGCGTGTGTCATTCTTTCTGCTTTGGCTGAGACGTCAACAGACTGGGGATCAGATATTGAAGACCTCGCTATTTACACCTTCCTTATTATCCATCTACTATCCATCTACTATACTTTCTATTTCGTCTATATTCCGAGGTTGTACTGCCCCCGGGTACTATCACCTGTGAACGGCTTTATATACTTCTTCTGTGATTTGATTGGTTACCGTTATTTCCAACCCTTGGAACCCCGCATGTCTGATAAGAGATAAGGGCCGTGTGTCCCAAAACTTGGACATCTCCCCTGTCTATCCAGTGCTGTCTTCTTGACTTTCACTAGACTCCTCTGGTATCTGCCTGCTCTTTCCATGACTCTTGATAGAGAGCCAAATCATGGCACGAAGCGTAAGCGCGGGGAGCGGAGACGCGCTTCGCTGGCGTAAGTACACTGCTCCTCGGCATCATTCCGCGCCTCACATTGACAATTCTCAAAAAGTTGCGAGACATGCAGAAAACAGAAAGAAAAGTGCGAGGGAGGCCAGCCCTGCTGGAGATGTCAGCGATTAGGACGATCGTGTCATTTCCAAGGCCAGCCGATTCCGACAACCACATCCCCTTGCTCCTCTTCAGTCCCTGTCGTGTCTGCTCCGACAGACGAGAATCGGCGAATACAAAGTCTGGAACATATTGCTCGCCATTTCCTTGGGGATGTGTCCTTGGACGAGGAGAATATAAGTCGTATTGCGGACAAGTTACGAAGCTCGACGAATACAACCCTGCCAGAAACTGCCCTGGATATCAACGAGTCATTCGACGTTCATTTCGTGTCGAATAATATGGCACATTACTCAGGGGAATTTTCTCACTGGAACTTTTCCCAGAAATTACGCCGCAAAATGAGCTGCCAAATAGATCAGACTGATTCTAGGGTTTGTATCTTTCCCCGCAAAAGCTCGAGCATGTCTAACGATATACAACAGGTCAAAGAATACTGGCGACCAACCCAGCTCCAATCATCGCCCGAGATTATGGTGGAGACAATGATGCATTTACCACCGAGGCCTATTGCCGACTTTCTTATCAACATGTTCTTCAAGTACGCTGAGATAAACTCCTTTTACATGGAGCGGAAATGGATTGAAGAGAAGGTAGCTCTCTGTTACAGCTCAACGACTACATACACGGCCATTGACTTCCCCTGGGTATGCTCTGTTTTTGTTGTTCTGGCTATTGGGACTCAGGTAGCCCATATGGAGGATGAAAAGCCAAAGCCCGATTCAGAGATCACTGAGGAACTCAACTTGTGTTCTGAGGACTCCGTCGGACTAGTCTTCTACCATGCCGCATGCAAGCTTATTCCTGATGTCCTTTTAGTTGCTTCTCACGAAAGTGTGCAGGTCTTCCTGCTTCTCGCCACATATTCATTGCCTGTCTCCACCGGTGGGCTTGCATACACCTATTACGGTCTTGCAATGAAGATGGCGATTCAGAATGGGATGCATCGCCAATATCAAGGGAGTAACTATGACTCTAGGACTATCGAACTCAGAAATCGGTTATTTTGGACAACATACACTGTTGAAAAGTATGACATCCCGGAGGGAATACTAGAGAAAAGCTGACCAATGCTTCATAGATATGTCAGCATCATGCATGGACGCCCTATGTCAATCGCGCGATCGGAGATAAATGCTGATATGCCAAAAGACTGCCCTACCTTTGATTCGCCACGATTTGCCAACCTATCCGCGTTTCATACATTGATTTCATACTTGGGAGAGATCTCCGAAACACTGTAAGTGGCTCAGAAAGTTGAACAGTTCATCGACGACATACTGATACCCCAACAGTGCACAATTCAAAAGATGTCCGAAAAGGCTTTTGTCCGAGTACTCAGAGCGGCTCTCGCGGCTGAGGGCGAGTATCAAGCAGTGGTGGGATTCACTCCCAGCCACTGAAGAATGTCGAGACTTATGCTCACAAGGTCCGAATTTCCGACAAAACTCGCATCTCAGACTCTGCTACCTGCTTATTTATGTCTATATGGGCCGTGCTTTTATATTTGTCGATGACAGAAAAAAGCAGAGTGAACCTATAGTTGGTGCAGACCATGATCCAGGACGGGCTCGTCGGTCAGTTTTGGTGGACGACTGCGTGTCAAGTGCTTTGGACATTCTCAACACCCTACAATCTTTATCTGATCATGTCGGTCTATGCCGCGCTTCCTACAATGAATTTGGTGCTTGTCGTGCGGCTATTCTGGTCATCCTTGCAGAAAGTCTCAACTCAGGGAGGTCCCAGAGACTTCAAGATGGCCTGCACCGTGGAATGGGTCTCATACGTCAGATGGTTGGAGGATGCTCTTCGGAATCCGAAATATCTTACCTCGAGTCTATTGAAGCAGCTATCAGCCAGCTTCTAACTATCCCCGAACAAGACTCCATTTCGCAACCACAAAGCGACCAGAATTCCGTTTCTGCCTATTCAAAATTCAAAGATTGGACGCAGTCACTAAAGAAGGACAAGTCTGCAAGTGGAAATGTGGAACTATCTTCATTTAGTCCTTTATCGCATCTCACACCTGGCACAGAAGGGTTTACGAATCCGGAGCTGAATGATATGACGGCTTTCTTTAACCCTGATTGGTCAAATGGTGATTTCGAGTTTGATACATATAATATTTCATCTCTGTGAAAATAATTTCAAATTGAGGTACATAGAACTAATATCCTTGGCGATTGCTTCCCTTATCCAAATACCATGTACAGAACACGTTTTGTCCAGGTTTGGCGCTTGTTCTTCTCTGGGTCCCGCTCCGCATCTTCAGCTGCAATAGCATTGATAAGATCCTGCTCATCAAAGGCTCTGGCAGGGCCGAAGTCCATGTCAACCGGCTTGACTATCTTTGTCTTGAAATACCACTGCGAAAGTTAGACATTTTCGGTCTTCAAACACAACCTCCTGGAGGCACTCACCTTGTATACAAAGTAATCGAAGAAGAACAAAGGAGCGGCAAGATAAGAAGAGAAGAAGCTCTTCACCGAACCCTTTTCTCCGAAAGGCCAGCAAGCTAGATAGAATTCACAACCAAAGACAAACAACACAATGATGAGACCAAAGTATTGCGCCCATGGGGTGAGAAGACCTTTGAATGGGAGAGCGCTGAGATCCTTCCCTTGGGCGCGAAGACCTTGCCGGAAGCGAAGATGAGCAATATAAATCGAACCCCATTGGAAGAGGGTTGCTATTGCCACCTAAATCAAACTGTCAATCCCTCTTCACTAAACACATCCGTATTCTAGTGTACTTACCAAGGCAGAAAACCAACTATATACCAAAGTTCCCACGCTGTTGCAGTTGAGATAGCCAAGCCCACCACCAAGTCCCAAGCTGATTATCAGGGACACGTAAGGCCGGCCCTGCGAGTCCTTTTTCCAAAGAACGGATGAATGATCTGCAGGTCAGCTAGTGCTGTCAAGCTTCGACTTGCGATATAGACACTGGTAATGCCACAGCTAATAACACTGAGGAAGATGAACCCGTTGATGGCATGTGCTAGACCATAGACATCCGCCCGCTTGATTGCAATGACAAAGGGGCTTCCCATGGTCCCGCTGGCATTAACAAGATCAGTGTCATTAGATGGCACACACATTCCGACAAGCCAGATATTAACCACAAAGAAGGTGAACATTCTCCAGAAAACGGGTCGCACTGTCTTCTTGATAGTGCGACGTGGATCGGCTACTTCGCCAGCTATAACAGCAATATGCTCACCTAGATTCAGTCAGTATATTCTCCTCGGAATTTGTGCTCGGATACCATACCACCACCGAAACTAAACGCCGCCTGTACGAACGCTTTAGCAATACCCTTTATTCCATTATTAAAAGCCCCAGGGTTTTTCCAGTATCGGAACTCGATTGGGCCGTTTGTCGCTGGTATTCCTCCCGATGTCATGATGAACATGAAGAATATCATCAAGACAACTGCGATGCACTTCACAAAGGACATATAATACTCGATATAACCGTAGACTCTCACGTGAAACATGTTTGCGAGGGCGAAGACTACCAGAAATATAGTGATAAATCCCGCGAGTGGGATTACGTCTGTCTCTGGCCAGTATCTCAGAACGGATATTGCTGCCGTAATCTCTGCTGGGATGATCATCACCCACTTTATCCTGCGTCAGTATACATAGTATTCATTTTCTGGTAGGCTGACATACTGCGAACCAGAAGTTAACACCAATTGCAAACCCGAACGCCGGATCCACGTATTCGGCGCATTGTCGGATAAAGCCACCGTGAATAGGCTTGTATGTAGTCATCTCGCCGATTGAAGAGTATTGGGCGTACACAATCATCCTTCGCAGATGGCGTTAGTCACAATAGCACAATGGTGGAGTATTCTGGAATAACCTACGCTGTGATCGTATAGGTGATTGCTGTACCAGCAGGACCGGCTATTCAATGTCAGTATTTGAATCTTGAAGAGTATATCCAAGTCTCAGTGCTTACCATAGTGCAATGCTTGTCCAGTTCCCACCCAAAGACCAGTGCCGATGCCAGCTCCAAAAGTCATCATCATGATCTGGCGCCTTGTCAAAGAACGATGGTACCCAGCATCGTCCGACGCAGATAGAACGACTGTGCTACCATGACGCTCAGTTCCTGAGCTTGCTGAGCGTTCTATGTCATTTGTCTCGGCCGTTTTAAGATCGGTTGCGTCCTTTGCGAATTGCATCGGGGATTCGTCCATGCTGGTGACTGCGTGAGTCGTAGCTGTGTTTGTGGCAACAGGAAACCTACTATGTGTCCATTTATCTGCGATTTGGTTACCAGAGTCAACCATGTAATTGTTATCCTTATCGCTATCTCTGTCACTATCTCTGGTATCTCTTTGACTTATCCACATTCCCGGTGGGAGCAATTATAGACTTCCCGCCGGCACTGCACTTGAACGGCTAGTGTGTTTAGGGTTATGATGCGCATTACTACTAGTAATACTAGTAAGTAATACTGCACTTTTACCTGTAACTGTATAGTAGTTGTTAGACTCGGGTGCGGGCGACTAAATGATTATGCTACCAGATTATAACTCTCTGTCATGTCTTTTTGGATGCTCTTTTTAGGTGTAAACAAAGGTGATTAAAAACGCATATTCTATATAACCTTTGACTATATAATTGTGTTAGTTTAGTATCTTAATTTCAACTTTATACTAGTACAACCGACTATTAATCTTAAACCCTATACACATCAGCTTATATCATGTATTAATCATAGTCGTAATGACTAGTAATCGCAAGGGTATTATCCCTACGTTTCAACAAACATTTACTATCATTCTACTACTATCTCACTGACCCCCGCATAACCGGTGCGGGGTACAAGGATGATTCATACATGTAGTCTCAAAGTCAGAGATAAGTCCAATACCTGGGCAATGGGCAGTGTCTACCTGATTACTACTTATCTGATCTGTCCCCCTGTCTTTCTTTATCTGTTTGAAGATAAATCAAGATTCTCTCTTACAAGAGGTGCATGAGTATATCAGTTCTTCCTCAAGTCTTTTGATAATCAACCCCAGCGTCAATACCCAACCATGTCCTCCTCTAAGCACGTTGTCTTTGACATTGTCGGCACCCTTGTCGCCTACGACCATGTTTTCGACGCCATTGATACCCGTCTAGGAGACCGATTGCGCGCAGAGGGAATCAAGCCCCGTCTACTGGGATATACCTGGATGGAAGCAGCCGAGCGCGAGTACACCAATCTGAGTCTTTCACAAAGCTACGTCCCATTCGGCCAAGTCTTCCGTGCACTTTTCTACCGGATGCTCTGGATGGCCGGTATCGCTGAGCCGCGCACCTGGGCTTCAGCGGAAGATCTGGAGTATATTATGGCGGAATACCAACTTCTCAAATTCCGACCTGGTGCGGCGGAGTGCGTTCAAAAGCTGCGTGATGCCGGTTTCACGGTGTGGGCTTTTACTGCGGCGGATATCAACCGTGTTGGGGGTTATTTCAAGAACGCGGGTGTCGAACTACCGGCAGAGAATCTGCTCTCTTGTGATGATGTCGGTGTCGGTAAGCCTGACTTGGAGGCTTATCGCCCCTTGTTGGCGAAGCTGAAGTCGGAAAATGAGGGGAAGACGCCTTGGTTTGCGGCGGCACATATGTGGGATGTCTCTGCGGCAAGGAAGGCTGGGTATGTGTCTCGTCCTTGAAGTCATGGATTTCCAATGGGTTGTTACTGATACTTGTTTTACACAGATTCAAGGGAGCATACTGCTCTATATGGGAGAAAGAGTCCCTGTCAGAACTCTTTGGAGAAATGGATGTTATGGATGATACTTTGCCAGGGATGGCGGACAAGATCATTGCCCACCAGGCGTCATCTTGAGGTTTTGCAATTAGTCTTACATATATGAATTTGAGTATCGTACTTTGATTAAAGATATTGACTGCTGCGCACTTGTAAATGTTGAAGTAATACATCATTATATCAGTAACCCATTGTGGTATCAACTTATAAGCCTTGGGAGACTCTATGACAACTAATTTCCACCTCGACTCTTCCACTGATCATGTTGGTTTAATTTTCACACTTGTTTTATTCTTTGTCTCTCAACTATCGAATAATTCAAGTCAACTCCTCTAACTATCCGATACCCCGCATCGTTATCACCAACGATGTAGCGTTATTACTTATCGGGGGGTGAACCGGGAAAGTTCCCGGTGGAAAAGCCGCCGGGAGAGGAGACAACACAGTCCCCCAAATGCCAATAAACTATATATGTAATAATTCTAATTCATTTAAGTTTCCAAGCCCGCTAATACCTAGGTAGTCTTGGAGTCTCCAAAATGGCAAAACATACCCCAGTCCCAAATGGGATGACGTCATTCTGGAGGACAGAGCCTCACTTTCTAGACAGCCATCGATCTACCGAAACTCTCCCTAGGGAATGCGATATCGTTGTTATAGGAGCCGGATATGCAGGAACTTCTGTCGTGCACCATATCCTCGACCAAGTTAGCCCCGGGTCGAAGCCGCCTTCGATTGTGATTTTGGAGGCGCGACAGGCTTGTTCTGGTGCCACTGGTCGAAATGGTAAGATTGGAATAATCCCAAATCAGGAAGTTTGCCAATTCTTAGCTTTTTTTTTCTTATTATAGGAGGACACATGAAACCTGATGTTTATAATGGCATCGCTGGCTTGGCCGCTGATCATGGCGTCGAGGCTGCTGCTGAGGTTGCAGCCTTCGAGGCTAAACATGTTTCATTTCTCAAGGAGTTCATCGGCAGAGAAAATATAGACTGTGACTACTCGGTTACAAAAGCTATCGATGTTCAGCTGTCTCGGAGTCATAGTGCAACTCTCAAGAAGGGGTATGAGGCATTGATCGAGAAAGGGTGTGAAGCAACAAAAAAGGCAGAATATATCCCCGGCAACGAGGCAGAGAAGGTGAGCACATGTTTTTAAACCCCGGATGCGTACATACTAACCAGAAATACCTTAGTTCTCCGGAGTCAAAGGTGCGCAAGCCTGTTTCACATATGATGCCGGTCACATTTGGCCATACAAATTCGTGCTGCACCTTTTGGAAAAAGCAATTGCGCAAGGTGTAAATCTACAGACGCACACGCCGGTAACTGGGATGACACACTCCAATAACTCGACATCGAGTTATCTTTGGACAGTGAATACTGCCCGAGGTTCCATTTCCGCCAAGACGGTGGTGTTAGCAACAAATGCCTATACCTCATCTTTGGCCCCTCAATATAAGGAGAAAATTATCCCCGTGCGAGGAACATGCAGTCGAATCATTGTTCCTGCAGGTACCACCGCCCCTCGTCTGACTAATACCTATACCTTGCGCTGGAACAATTGGAATTATGACTACCTCATCCCACGGGCCGATGGGAGTATAGTCGTTGGCGGTGCTCGCCCAGCTTTCATCAATGATCTGGGCAGCTGGTACAATGTCAGTGATGACAGCCTAGTACTGGAGCCTGCTGTTCGATATTGGGATAATTATATGCAGCGTAACTTTGTCGGTTGGGAGAATAGCCACGCTTACACGGACAGAGTATGGACAGGTAGTACGTTGCTCAGTCTATGGTACCCATACACTGACCACCAAGCTAACTCGACTTCTTAATAGTTATGGGGTACTCGTCAGATGGGCTACCGCATGTCGGTCTTGTCCCAGGACAGAAGGATCAGTACATCATCGCTGGGTTCACGGGGCATGGAATGCCACAGATCTTCCTAGCAGCTGAGGGCTTGGCAAAAATGGTACTCAAGGATGTCGGTTTTGCGCAAACTGGACTCCCGAAGTTGTTCGAGTCTACTCAGTCCCGGCTTGATAGTCGTCAGAACAAAATATTCGCTAGCACCCCGGGGGCTGAGAAAGCGCAAGCAAGACTATGAGCAGGACTTGAATTTTAAATGCTCGGCTACTGGCTATTTGACTAGCTACATGTAGCTATATTACGTGTCAGTACAAGTATATAATAATCGGATGGAACTCATTATTCCCTATTGGGTGGGGTAGGTTACTCGCCGAGATACAAGCACCAGTAGTTGGCTCCAGGCATCTAGGATGCAGCCAAGACAAGGAATTCGTCTCCAATTATACCTTTAGATGTATCAGCCCCCATTCTCGTCCTTGTGGATCTATTAATGGGCAACAGGCGGCTAGATAAACCACGGACACGGGAGCAAATGTTATTGGTACCCTTTCGTACGAATTGCTCTGATGGTATAATTGTCGCCTGAGGCCCCGGGGTAGGCACATGAGAAGGGCCCCTTCCTCCTTGGGGTTCCTTCTGCCTTAGAGCTCATTCCTCCCCCTCCTCTTCCCTTTTTACTTTACTCCTCCTCATCCTCGCCTCTTCTATTTCACTTCCCGCAGAGCTCTGGCGAGGCTGCTTTTCTTCTCTTGGACCCTTCCTGTCCGACCATGTAAACCGATCGGGATACTTGCCTGAAATCTTGGTTTGGACAGGTTGTTCACTTTCGCAAGCCATGATACCACATATCGGCGGTGAGCCTCGCCGTTGGCCCGAGCATTCTTTTGTGGCGTTTCCCGATTGATCACGGCTAAGGGTGATCGCTAAAGTCTCCACTCTCAATCGCAAGCGGCCCCAAGACCTTTAGCAATACCATTCCTATTGCTGGCCGGATGGCCATCGACAGCAATAGGAATCCGTTGCCCGTGGCCTTGCCTTTGGGGAGGGGACCTGACCAATGACCAGAGGGTTTCAACCCGTTCTCTCAGAGCATGGTATCAACCCCGCTGAATCCCCTCCCAGAGCCACGCGTACGACTGCCTCCGCCAATTTCCTGACCAAGATCACGCTCTCGATTGCTCGCACTCGGCCGCCAATTGGTTCTAGAACTTCCCCTGCAACAACAGCACACGCTGGGTCGTATCGAAAAGAAAGCGCGACATCAACTGTCAGCAGCTAGAATATCGAGTGGAGGCGGAGGCAGACTCAGCCTAAGCCAGATCAGTGGTGTCCTGGTATGAGGAGGAAATGGCCCAGCTGGAACTTGCAGGCGTGGATATCAAGGGCCGGGGTATCGCTGTTTTCCCTCGCAACTTTTTCCGTGTGATCCCATGTTGATATCGCCTGTCTTCTGTGATTTGTAGCTGTTACCCATAAATGCAGTTATTTTCACTTTATCCTAAACAACTACACTACTGAACTTTGAAGATTGCATCTAGTGAGATTAAATACGCCCGGTCTTGGCGTCTTGGCGTATTGGCGGATGAGTTGTGAGATACTCCCGAAGTCCTATTGTGCAACCCCTTTTATAATTACGATCCATTGCACAGGTATATTATGCCAATGGATGCATTACCTTTTATAAAATCATACTTCATCCATCCGAAAAATGTGCGAGTTTAACACGAGACCTCACCTTATCCGACGATCATGCAAATGCAATCGCCAATCATGATTGCGTGCTTCACGCAATTCACTGCACAATTGCGCGATGCCCCCTCGTCTTAGATACCTTAAGCTTCCATTATTTATATTATGCACGTCGCACCCGTGGCTTTGGAGCATTTGACACTCTGCAATCTCCCTTATACGAGCTATATCGCATCTGGGAGCTTTCGCCCTTGAAGCTCGCTATGGAAGCTGTTGGTTCATCTGACGGCCAAACTACAACCATGAAGTTTTCAAAGGAGACTTTTGATCTTGAATCCAACACGCGATTTGAATACGACCCATGGCTTCTCGATGACCATCCCCTACGATCATATCCGACAGAGTGCATTCCAGGCTTGTCGCTTTATCTGGATGAATACTATCAATCCATCGGAAAGCGAAGGGCAATTCTCTTTCGCGCTGCATGCCTTATCTTCGGATGCTTGTAAGTATTACCACAATATCCACGACGTTCCAAGGTTGTAGTCCCCGGGATATGCCAAGCTGACATCATTCCTTTACCAGAGCCGCATTCCAATGTCTCCGATTGCTCCCAACCAATATCAAACGGATACTCCCGCCTCATGCATCCATACAACACACCCAGATCCACCCCCAGAATAGTGCGTGCACATTTCCCACACTAGATACGCGACCAGATGCCCTCAAGTCCTCTCTCAACGATGGATGCGATGGACTCCGAATGGCCGTGTGGATGCACCACGGCGAGCTGCAGATTGGAAATGCCGTCACGGAAACCGAGCCCGAGGATTTCCTGCAGCGACTCGGTCTCGACCCTCTTCTAGCGAAACTTGACGCTGGGAACTATGCCACCGCCCGGGCATCTCTTAACTCCGAAAGACCAGGCAGCTTTCACGCTGACTTGGCGCAAACTTTCCTTTTGATGCTTGATGCCAAGACGCCACTGCATGAACTGTACCCGCATCTCGTGGAACAACTTGATACCCTCCGGCAGAGGGGGTATCTGTCTCATTGGGATGGGCAGAATGTTGTTCAGCGCCCTGTGACTATCGTGGTTACTGGGGAGGCATTCCCTGAGAGTGATTGTGTCAATCATTCTTATTCTGATGTCTTTTGGTCTGCGCTACCGGAAGGACGCTTTAGGACAAGTGAGCTTACGAAGGATAACCTTCGACATCTATCACCGGTGTGTATAGTATGAGTGTTGTTGACTTCTGTGATACCCAATTTGAGCATCTTTTAATAATGTGAATGATATCGATTTTCAATATTGTGTTTGTGCTTTTAATACACATCTGCGACTTCCCATCCCCGGCAAGGAGGTTGATAAGGTGATCCACTTTGGAATACTCTTAGCTCTCAACCTGCAGCCTTGCGTAAGCGCGTGATGTTAATTCCAAGGTTAGAATAGATGTGCGATCGGACATGATGTAAGCTAGTTATGTACCCGTGGACTTTATATATTAGTTATAAGGCAAATACATGTAAAGCTTCAAATGATGCAAATTAATAGAATCAATGTAGGCATCAACGGAACCCTCCTTTAATAAATCTCCCGTGGGATCCTAGTTAAGACCAGACATAATCCATAGGAAAGCAGGAATTCCATCTACACTGATAGGGTTCCGGTGGTCACCTTAATCCGGAAATTGGTATTATTAACCGCTGTGTGACGGATTCGCGTGAGGTGTGTGGGTTAGTTCTACGGCTTTTTCAATTCTCACCATTCTAGATCTCAGTGATGGCCAGAATAGTCTACCTAGTGTTAGTATAAACTCACTAAGCATGTGCTTTACCTATTAAACTCGGGCGGCATTTAACCCGAGTCACGACTTTGGTCCTCGGCTTACCACTATTTTCACTAACCCTTATTAGTTCTATAGGCCTTGGGCTAGAGCTCCTATATGACCTCTTCATCTCCACTAGTGGTGAAGCCCCGAATTACCCGCTTGAGCGCACCCAGCGCTCGATGGCCAAAAGTGGGATGAGGCCGACTCTGCAATTGAAGTAAGAGTGAGGTTCCACGGTCAAGTGTCAAATATTGTGCTTCCTATGACGTTTAAGTATCTCTGATTGGCTCTTTTTGTATGCATTATCTTTGCATTTGATTACCTCGGTATATTAAGATACGTGCCTAGGTAGTATATTAGGATCAGTGTGTCCGGTTGAAAAGGTTAGGAGGCTAAAAATGAAGTATACCCAAAGCCTAGTATTATAGGGTAATTTTTTTCCTATTTCCTGCCCAAACAAGGTCATCATAGCATATTTCCTGCATATGCAAGTTTCTAAATGGGCCTAGCACACACACACATACACATCCCGGTACACAAGGAACAGGTAATACAAGACACACAAACCCCAGGATTTAAAGCATGTGGGTTGGGCATGAATCTGAATGGGAAAAAAAAGAGAATATATTTTTAAAATGAACATATATAACTGTTGTATTTGTTTTTTATAATATTCGATATATATTTATATACATAGATAGATATAGATATGTATGTATGTAGTATATACTCCGTACACAATGTACACCATCCCCGCATGCATAGCTTTTTTTAAAAAGGTCTTGGCTCCGCTAACACCGTCATCGCTTCACCGTTTTTTTATTTTCCCCCCAACTTTGGGAAGAAAATTTTCGGTAAAGGGGGAATTCCTTTTAATTGATGGTTGATTGTTGATACATTTCCACCTAAACGCCCTATTTCTGCACGTTCCCATTGTGCTATCATCCGGGTCGCGCGATCAACCGCTGATCCTGCAGCTCTGGCCCATTTCCGTTTTCTCTTTTCTTTTGCATTTCACTGTTCCACCGCCATTCTGTTCTCTAATCCTTTTCTTCCCTCCATCTTACTCTTATTACTCAAACAAGGTTTTGGACATGGACTATCGACGACTACAACATTCATACCCGCCACGGCCCTCGCCTTTAGGGGCCTCGCAAGAACCTCGCGATCCGCAGTTTGCGCCTTTTACCGAGTCTCGTCAAGAGACTGACAAGCCTCGCCCATACCCCTCTCCCTCCTCAAACACCACACCCTCTCCGTCACAGCTCTACCAGTCAACCGCTTCACGGACATCGAATCCTTCTCGTGGAGATACCTCCAGCGCATACTTTCCGAGGAATGGCCCAACACAAGCACACCGTCGGCATGGGAGTCTCGAGACGAGGAATCATGAACAAACACATCGCAGGAATAATTCGCAACCTCAGGCGGTTCGATATCGTGAAGGTAGGCAATCTCCTTAAGTTGTTTTTGTTTATTTTCACCTGCCCAGATGGTTCCGATGCCCCAGATTGAGGATTCCAAGGATCGGACTTGTGCCGTGGTTGGCCTCCACTTTGTCACCTTCCAAGGTTGTTCCAGTCCACTTTTTGGGGTATGCGCGACCGAAGGAATGGGGGTTCTGTAGCCATCAGTTTCAGGTCAAATTTATGTGACTACATCCAATCCCATTCTCCAAAACTTGCCCCCTCTTCTCTTGCCCCAACACGCTGTCCCC